GCACTATACAGGTCATTGAAATCAAGACGATTTTCATATGAAACTGGTTGTAGCGTGTGAAATACCCTGTATAATCTCATACTATTTGATATTGTTATAACGGCAAAAGCGGGGTAAATTTAAATATAAAATAAAATACAGGGCGTCCCAGTAAAAAAACAATTTCGATATGTATCACTTTCTTGAAGAACCCTATATAATTTAAATTATTTTTAAATTGTTGTTTTTTCTCATATACATCTTGCTCTGAAAACAGATTTTAACAGAATCAACTAGTTTTGGCTCCACAGATCGAGGCGTTACTAGTGGCCCACCCTGTATATAATTTTCTATTTTGGCCGATTTATGACCTTCTGAAATATTGTTTTTTTGTATTTCTAAAAACTTTATTAAATGCACTTTTTGAGTACTCTAATAGCACACTTCATCATTTTTTGATTTTTTAATTTGAGTGAATATTGTGATTTTATGCTATAGAATAATTTAGGCTCTATATCCTCTTTTCCATCCAATAAGACATATTGCAGCACATGAAACCGTCATAATGAAAAAGTTAAAACGGGATTTAATTATAATAAAAATTTGAAAATAAATTTTAAACAATTTCTGTTTTTTTTTAGAAAGTTCAAGCAAATATTTACCCTTGGTTTCAGATTTCCAATCGGCGAATAGAATCTTAAATTCTGGCGGTTCATGACCATCTACCACTCTGGTTACTTTAGTAAAAGCAGGATATTTTTTCTTTTTAACAAATCCTCTAGCATTTCTTAATGCCTCACTTCTTTCTCTTTCACTAACTTTTCTTCCTACCCATACCCATATACCATCAGTTTCTTGGTCCAATATATAAACATCCTATTAAAAATTCATATTGGGTGTTAATAGTTTTTATGGATCAAAACATATTTTTCTTACTTACTTCCTGATTTAAGTCCTGTTGAGAAAACGGTCCACTTTTTAATTCAGTTACCCTATATTTACCATTATGTTCAGCACATTTGTATAGTCTTATAAATGCTCTTTGGTAGTTTCCATTTACATCGCTATCGGGGTTTTCTGGTAAAATTATTCGTTTTTCTAATGGTAAGTATTTATTAAACTCTTTTTTCAGATCATCCTGTAGAGTTTTTTCGTAACCGTCATCTACGAATGCTAAACTGGGAATTTTCAACTTATCTTTAATTTCTTCAGCGATCTAAAAATAATTATGTAAATGAGGAAATATGTTTTTAAGTTAAGTACATTTTTCTTTTTAAAAATTCGAGGGAAGGTGTCACATATAATTCAATCCAAGTTTTAATCTTTAATGTGGTTCAGTGATAGCCCAAAAATTGGTAGCAGGATGATACTTCCGGTATGTGAAGATTATTCAAAGAGAAGAAGCATTGAGAAAGGATTAAATGTGATGTCATGTGATGATGAATACGTAAATAAAAAAGCTTAAAGAAATGGTGACATCCGTAAATAAACTATTTATTTAAAAGAAAAGAAGTAAAAGAAGCAGTTGTAGTTGACTATTTTGACGTGAACTATTCAAATTAATAAAACTCACTAACGAGTAACAATTAAATAATGCTTGTGATTTATTCAAGGGTAATATACCAACACCTTGATAATAGTCAACTATTTTTGTCTAAATCTAAATTTCGAGAATATTTTAATATTAATTTGATGAGACATAATTTTGGGCATTAATCAATTGATTATTAATGCCAAAATTATGTAGAATCAAATTGTAAAATATTCGAGAAGTTTAGCAATACAAAAAAATAGCAGAATATTAATCAAGGTCGTGTTATATTTGGTACGACTATTTCACTAGACCAAATATTGACTATTTACCTAAAGAAATAGTCGCTGATATTTGGTCTAGGGAGATAGTCACCAATAAACCTAAAATATTGACAAGGTAGAGGAGACCCATAAACGCTTTTCCCACTGTCAAAAATGAAAATATCTTCTCAGGTAACAAACTCACAGTAGCAACCAATTCAGAGATTACAACCAGCTATGAATTCCACACCACAAATTGAACAGCATACTGCACAGTCAGCCAGCCCAGCAGAAAGTACAACTCATGAATTATTATTATCCTTAATAACCAGAATAGATTCCCTCTCTAACTGGCTCCAGAAGCTAGAAGAATTAAATAAATCCCAAATATATAACAAAACCACCAATGGACAAAAGATAGAATAGCCACTTAGAATGCCAATGGGATTCTCCAAAAATAAACTGACATCCAAGTTTTCTTAAACGTACAAAAAAAGACCCACCTTAAACGGAGTCATATATTAAATACAGAGGATACAACTTCTATCAAACTATCTATCTATTAAATATAGCAAGAGGAGGAAGTGCGTTAATTATTAAAAAAAAAAAACATTTCCCACTATAAGGAACCAGGCACCCAAGAACCAAAAAATCAGGTAACCATTAGCACCATTAACATTAAGGGGGCAAAATTACAATAGCTACAATCTATTGCCCACCAAGATACAACCAGAAAAAAGAAAACTATCTCAATGTACTCAAAAAACTAGATAACAAATTTATAATCGGTGGAGATTACAACTCCAAAAACACCATATGGAGTTCTAGATTAGCCACAGTAAGAGGAACTTGATTGTACATACCAATCTTCTGAAAAACCCACCTATGGGCCCACCGATCCAAATAAGATTCCAGACCTTTTGGATTTCTTTATTTTGAGGAAAATTTCATCAAACTATTCACAAGTAGAATAAAATTTTGATATGGATTCAGACCATTCTACAGTAATACTTACTCTAAGTGATAATGTTATTCAAAAAGAAGTAAAATTGACCCTCTAGCAAATCGGAAAAATAATTGTGATGGTTTTCAAGAGGATTTAACAAATACTTTTCAACTGATCATAACATTAAAAAAAGAGCAGCTAGATAAAGAACTGGAAAGGTTTATGGTTGAAGTCCAGCAACCTGCATGGAGAAACACATCAAAAGTAAGAAGAGAAACAACTGGAAAAAACTATTCTGTCGAGATAAAAGAACTGGTAGCAGAAAAAAGAAAACAAAGAAAGAAATGGGAGATGACAAGATTATCAGAAGATACAAATATGTTAAATAAAGCTACCCAAATACTGAGAAAAGAAATTCTAAATCACAAAGAAGAATACTTCAACAAATAACTAGTAAGGCTAATAGATGATAACGAAACTGATCATTCGCTCTGAATGGCAACTTAAAAGATGAAAAATGCATGTAAACACTATCCTCCTATCAAAATAGCAGATAACAAATGGGCAAGAGACAATCAACAGAAAGCTGATATTTTTGCTGACCACCTACAAAAGATTTTTCAATTAGATGAAAATTCAGACACTCTTAACGAAACGATCCATCATATGAAACAACTTGAA